CAACCCCATGGTTATTTCTTTTGCTGCTACACTGAATTTAATTTACACAAGTCCCATTTTCAGTTTGGAACTGTCACAGCTGTTTCTATTGGCAGTGCATAACTGAGTAGGAGTTGTCAGTGGGGATGCTGTAGGATAGGCGGCTAGAAAAGAGATTCCCTGGGGGGCTTGGGAGGCAGTTTTAGGTTGTGGGCTAAATGCATTAACTAGATGCATTAACTTAACAGTAGTGAATTATTTGATGTGTATTTATGTATTTAGATATTAGAGTTAACGCTCTATTGGGATGAAAAGAATATTTCTCAGTATACGAAGTCTGCTCAGAGTCAGGAACCCATGTCTTTATGACTGACACTAGGTTTTCATTTTTTAAGGCTATCTTCTTCTAAAACATAACACCTAGAAACAAGCTGTAATTTTGAATAACACTTGTAGACAGTAAAGTGGATTCCATCTGTGCCAAATCAAGAAAAATATGAGGTCTTAGTTTGACTGACTACCAAACCAAGAGAAGGTCTAGATGCATTATGTTTCCCAGCATGGGAAGGTTCAGCTCCACAATTTTCATTTAGTCCATTAGCGATGTTTCTGCACACAGTCAGAGCTGGGTTATAACTTCTCTTATGCTGCCTTAAAACACCTATAATTCCACTCACTATGAAGCAGCTATGCCTGATGTATATTGATGTATAGTTAGTGATGTATAAGCAGAAGCAAAGACAGTAAAGAGAGTGGTGAAACCATGGCTCTTGAGTTGCATCAGCCCACCAGCAGTTCGAATGGGGCTTCCATGCCAGGATATCACATAAGCGATAACAGGACCATGTTGGTCTGAGGCGGCTCCCCAACTGTGAGAAGCAGCGAGCCAAGAGGGGCTGCCAGTGCCCACATTGCCAGGTCACCCACAACCAAACATGGGAGTCCCAGGGAGCCAATTCCTGCCTCTGACTCACTCCTGGGGTTCTCCTTCTCCTCGTCTCTCCAAGCTGTGATGAGTGCCTTGTAGGCTTTTGGCCATGGCAGCATTTAGGCACAAAGTTCACAGACACATCAAGGCTGATCCATTCTTCCACTAGTACTAGAGGGGACATGCCCCACGAACCTTCAGATATATGTCAAAACACACTTTTTTTTTTTTCCCAGATAAGTGAGAAATAGGTATTTGGAAAGACAGGGAAGGAGAATTTTGGTGGCATGTGATTTGGTGGCTGCAATTCTCTGGGATGTTTTATATTTTATTAAATCTATCATGAGGCTTTAGTTCTGCCTGAAAATTAATTGCAAGTTTGAAGCATGCTCAGAACCCCTGTTAGGAGAGTGGATCAAAGGAGACCAGTCAAGCTCCAATGCTAAAACCAGAGCTTAACATCAGCTTTTGCGTTTGCTCTCTGAGTAAAGAAAAAAGGACTGTGAATGTGTGATTAAGGGCATAATTTGGTTCATTTACAATTCCTTAAAGGGTTGCTCTTCAGACCATTATCATATTTTTGGAGCAGAACACGCCTATCACATTCTTGTTGTTAATAATTTACTCCCTGGGTAGAGCTCATTACAACAGCATTGTCTCAGTAGTGTTATGTTCATAGCTGCTTCAATGACTGCAGTTATGAAAAAAGTAAATGCACCCATACATACATGCCTATATTTACTTACGGAGAGAGAAAAAAAACACTTGGAATAGGGTCTATTTCCAGATGTTCGGCAAAGTCTATTATCTTAGGTGTCTGACACATTCATGGATCAGTGGTGAATGATCAAAAAGTCACACGATCATTGACAGACACTCTTTGCAATGAAAATCAGATTTCGTATCCAGGACTGTGAAGAAATGCCTCTGAAGACCATGTTTCACATAAATCACTTACTCTGCTTGCTTGAATGACCCCAAAATAGCCACCACTGAGGAGATCTCAATGAGATCCTGCAAAATGGGTTGAACACCTTTATACATACACACATCTACAGTGAATGCAAATATGACTGGAAGATTGACTGGATAGGGCTTTAGAGAACCTAATTGCTTGGTTTCAAGAGATCCAGTTGTGCAAGTGGAGATAACTGCAGCTGACCAGAGCTGAGACCCCGTTAATTAATGAGCTATAGCACCGGCTGTAGTGGTTTCTCATCATTGACATGACGCGTGGGCAGAGAGCACATCATTCTGTTTGATCTACTAATCAGCGCTGATTCATGTTTACACTGCAGATAACATTTCATCTGCTCTTAGAAGGTCATTTCCAAGTGATTCTGCATTGTTTCAGTATTGCTTGTTGCCTGTAATATTCTCTGAAGGAAGATAGACCTTAATCTTCCCTTGTGTCAGAGAGGGCTCGAATTCATGCAGGTGTTAGCATCATCACAGTTTCTCAAGCAGCAATATCAAACAGTACACATTACAGCATATCTTTCACCCATGAAGCTCAGACTATACCAAAACAGGCAGAAAGGCCTCATGAATTTCATTATATAGCTAGAAAACCTATAACATCGAATAGACATTTTTGCTCAGATATTTTTTGCTCAGAGCACCTCGGATTCCGCTTTCCAACTATTAGTTCTCACTGACCTTATCAGGCAATACTTCAGAGACTCAGGTGTGGAGTGATGCTAGGTGAACCTACAGAATATACTAAAATGCACTAAATGCACCACATCATTTCAAAAAGGAATTGTAGGGCAAGTTTCCTGCTATGTTGAATGGTTTGGTTTGGCCAACAGTATAAAATGTGCTTTGCCAGTGACAAGGAAGAATAAATACAGTGACTGCTATTAAAGATTTGAGAAGAGGTAATGCTTGGGAAAGTGGTAAATAATTAAGAACGCAGGTCACTGCTACAGGGACATGTGGCTCACACAGTGATCTGTGGAAAGGAAGTCAATGTGCATCACACTATGGTCAAATATAAAGTTGCTTCTGGAAGCAAAGCCCATACTCACATCATAGGGCACCCTTTTTGGGGAACAGTGGCAATGTGTAACCTTTGAGGTAAACAAGCTTGGTGGTAAATCCCATAGCCCCATTATCCTGGTTATTCTAAAAGGAGATCTGTCGGGAAAGGCCCTGGCTACTTTCTGGCGGTGCATCCCTTGTGAAGGGGATGAAATATCCTTCCAACACGAACTTTGGCCATATGCTGGGCATATTCCTTGAATGGATGCTGGACTTGGAAATACTCCCCTGTTCTTCATGGCCAAAAACTCTGAGCAGAAATTGAGGACACAGCAAATAATTAGTGACCATGAGCCAAGGCATGAGCTCATGCCAAAACAACTAACAAGCTCCGTGGATGTATGAACTCAAGGACGAGAAGGTAAATCACTTTGCCCCTGCAACTGATGCTTGTGCACAGCTTCCTATGGGAATACTGCTTCTGGTTCTCATGTAAGTGACCCCGAAAGGATGTTGACTAATTAGGAAGAGTTTAAGGAAGAGCCGTGTGAATCATTAAAGCTTCAGAAAATGTGTTTTAGCAAGAGCCTCCAAGATTGAGATATATTCAGCTTCCTAAAGAGAAGATTAAGGGACAATTTTATCTCAGCCTGTAAACAACTAGAAGGACAACAGCAAATTCTTAACACGTTTTTTCAGTCTAGCAGACAAGTGTGCAACAAGATTTCCTGGCTAGGAGAAAAAAAAAAAAGAATTAACCAGTGGAATAACACAGCAAAGACTGTGATACCAATCTCTGATCAACTGTTCTAGTGCAAACAGAAAGAATGACATTGAAGTCCTTTGCCCTGTTTGACATCGTTTTTAACACTTCATAATAGTGATCCTCCCTTATTTGCAATGCTCAAATCTCTCAACACTGAATGACTGAAATTAATGACTTAAAAAAGATTACACTTTAACAATGTGTTCAACTAACTAAAGTATAAATGATTTAATTAGCCATTCTGCTAGTTCCCTTTCACTTTAACAGCTCCATTGCCCAATTCTCACCCTGCCTTCCTGCTTTCATTTTAGTGGCCATGAGATGCAGAATCTGCTAGGTGCAGAATTGTGGGGATTTCCCCTGGAAATCACTCAGATTTGGAGCAAATATCGTTTTGAAGCACCAACAATGCAGCTGAGAAAACAGAGACCCAACATCCCCTGCTCTCTAGGTTGTATATTTGGGGAGATGATAGACTAGAAAATGGAAAGGCCAAAGCCCTCAAAGAAACGCCTGGAAAGTAGAACAGCTTGTAGTGGATATCCCAGGGACCACTGTTTGCTTGATGGACGGACTGTGATGATACCAGGGAAACTGCACCGTCCTCAGAGAGCAGGAGCTGAGCCATGTCCTGGGAGACGCAGCTCCATTATAAGGACAGGAAGAGCCCGGCTTGACTATCATAGTGAGAGCCCTTGGCTAGAAACATAAACATTGCTTGACTTGTGATCTGAACACGTCTGACCTGCACATCGCCAGAAGAGGAAGCAGCTGCCCACACTGCCAGCTGAGACCCTTTCCTGATCGGAGACCAGGCAGGCACAACATTATCCTCATACGTTTATGGAAATCTCTTGCTCCACCACATTTGCCGCTGGTGCTGTAAATACATTATCTTACACCCCAAAAACCCTCCATACAGGAGAGATCACTGATGGGGGAGAACAAGGATGCAATGGAAGGGAGAAGGATCATGTGGTCGTCTCCTTTGTGTCTTTAAAACATGTCTGTGGTCAAACCAAGATGCTTCTGCTCAGTTCATTCATGTTTACTAGAAGGGTGTATCACCCCATACGACCCAAGGGCTGGCTAACGTTGTGGGAAAGCCACATGATATTAATCTATCCTAAACTGGCAAGCATTAGAAGAGAGGGACTACCATAACCACCCTTTCCTCAGTGAATCTACACTTATTCAAATGAATGAGACAGCAAAGGGCTTTATCCATGAAAGAAGGAGCCTGGTAGGAATGAAACATGCAACAGAAGGGTTGATTGCTGCTGCCGGCATATTTCTCACATGCAAACACCCAATATGTCCCGTGTGCCCTCTCCCTTCCCATTTCTAAGCCAACACAACCTGTGAAAAGTCAACAAGGAGCAGCATGAGTTTCCCTTGACTCTTAGAGTGGGATTTGTCCAAAAGCAAAGAGTTTCTATGGTCTTACCTCCTTAGAGCTACTGTAACAGGTCTCTGCTGCTTGGAAAGCAAAACAAGCACAGATAAGCAGTGATGAGATATCCCAGTTTTTGCCCGGCTGTGTACTGACCTCAGACATCTGCGGGAAGAGGCTGATGGCCAAGGGGAGGGCCAGGCCAAAGGCAGCGAGGCACACAAGGCTTTGGACCGGGAGAATCATCCGGGGACGGGACCTCAGGAGGGACGTTCTGCAAAGAAAAGGCTGGGTTAGGCCGCTCCATAGACCACGTTAGCCTGTGCTGCCACCCAAAGAGACCTTTGCTCAGACCTGCTGGCCTCCTACACCCCAGCTGGTGTTAAAACCTGTGTGGAGACCAGATCTTCGGCCTGGTCTATGACTCTAGCCCTTCAATTTACAGATCACGAATAACTAAGGACCACGTTTTTCTGCCTTTTTTTGTGTCACCTTGAGTCTTTCTCTGAGGGTCATCTCTGTGAGTTCACGAATAGAAGAGCACGATCCAGCCCCAGGGCAGTCCTGTGTACAACACACTATGGTCTTCCACCCCACCGCGTTACACAGCCATGGGCAACGTTGGTGCTCAGTTCTCCCAGATTAAAACAGCTTCACGCTCCCTTCCTCCACTTCAAACCAGTCTCACTCTGGAGAAAACACTACACAAGGTGATGTGGATGGGTGCAGGTGTTGCCTGTATTAAGGCTTTGGAGATGATGCTGAATGAACAGAAAGAAGTGAAGCTTCATAATTCTCTGAGGACTTTGTCATTTGTGGAACAGAATAATACTGAAAAGGGCATTTGACTTAGTGGTGTAATAAAGCAGTAAACTTGACAATATCTTAATTTGTTAAAAATCAAACATCTTTAGAGTGGGTGATAAGGCTGTTTTAACACGAGCTGTCCCCAGGGGATATTTATGAGTTTAAGATGTGTTAACAGCAACCGCTTAAAGATATCTGCAAGGTCAAGTTCTGATAATGACCCATTAAGTGACCCTAATGATGCAATTAACACTGAATGACATGGACAACATTCAGCCGATAGAAGCTGGTATTTTAAGTATGTTACAGGAGACAGGACCTCAGACAGTTTGCAAATGAGTGTGAACTGGATGCTTTAGGGAGAAAAATGGAATCCTTGAGCGTTTTGTTCAGGGAGGTATTCTCACCAAAATGACACTTTTTTTTTTTTTCCCACCAATCTGAAACAACTGAGAACTGAGAATGACAATAGGTTTTGACCAGGTATTCAGCAGACTTTGGCAATGCAGATGGACCATCCAGGGGGCCACCATCTCCAGCCTTAGTCCCAGCATGTCTCTCTCCACTGCTTGGCCTGACCAACAGTGCCCAGAGGATGCTGATGCCTGGAGGTGTCCTGCCATCAACCACAGGCAGGAACCTGCTAGTTAGTGCCTTTCCAATGGGATAACACCAGAGGAGCTCTCCTGGGGAGAAGGGAAGGCCTAGGAATGATCTGATGACACTCAACAGCATTGTGGTTTCCATCACTGGGTTTCAAAACATGTTTCTAATCAAATGTGTGCTGTTCACCAGGTCCCCAGCCAAAATGGAAGAAATCTATCTACATCAGGGGACGCTGCTGGGCCCTGAACCTAAGTGCTTTCGCACACACACACACACACACCTTATATTGGAGGACCACCTCCCCGTGCAGCCTGAGCCTGCCAGAAAGGCAAGATAACAGATTATCTCCATGCCCATCTGCTTCTCATCTCCTGCAGGCTCCGAGCAAGCACCTCATGGATTACAACAGCGCAGCTGCCGTGTGGAACTCGTTAGCTGCTGCGGGCTGGGTGCGTGTGCTCCAGCGTCCAGGCTCTTCGCTCTTGCCCTGCAACGGGTGGTTGTCTTCATCTCAAGGAGGGGTGGAGAAGGAGAACCAGGAAAGCAACATCCAAAACTCTAATCCCACCAATATCTTAACTCCTTGCTCCATACGCTAACTGCACTCACCAGCTGCTCTTCTGTACATGAGACGTTCAAGATTTGCCAGCAACGAGCTGTGACAACCAGTCCCCAGGATGCAGAGGGGCAATTGCTGAAACTGATTTATCCTTATGCTTAAAATGTCATGATCCATTAGAGCCCTTGCTGAGAAAAATCACAGGACCAGCATCCTTCTAGCCTCCCTGGAGTACAGTTTAGAAGCAAGACATCGCTGCTTATACTGCCCTGACACTTTAATTTGGAAGCTGCACCCTCTTTAATTATTGCCCTGTTGGGGACCTTATAATCACCCAAGTAAAAACCACACCAATTTAAAATGATCCGTGGTTCAGCCTCCAGGTGTGATTTCCAGGAGCGTTCCAGACTCGGGCCAGTTCAAATTACAGCAGCTAACGTCCTAATTAAGAAGAGCTATGGCTCGATTTTAAAGGGGGAGGGGACTAATTAACACATGTAGTGTAATGTCTTAATTGGGATGCGGCTTCTAAAATTTGTGTTCAGACTAAATGACTCATGATCAGTTGGGAGGTCACTTTTCTTCAGTCCCTAGGATCCTTGCACAGATTTTGGAAGAAAATTTAGTTAATTATTCTATGCTGCATTTTGTTACCTGTCAAATGCAACCAAAAATGATCTCCCTTCACCCACAACCACCCGCCTTCCACGATGGAAGTGCCTGATTAGATGCTTCCTAATGGCTTAATTGCAGAGTATTGTATTATAGCAAGCCATAACTAAACAAAACAATTTTCTGTTTGTCCAAGACTGAATTATGCTACTGCATTGTGCTGTGTGCTCTACCAGGGGGTGAGATCATGGGTGGGGAGGTCTAGACCCTTAGATCCTTGTGAAAGCTCAACTTTGCTCTGAGCTTCTTCTAAACCAGACTGCTTTACCCAGAAGAAGGTGAATATTATCCTACCTTAGCAGTCGTTCTGTGCAAGCAAAGGGACACTATTTGTACACGACAAAAGTAGTTTTATACACTGCCCTGTCCACAGGTCAGAATTGGCCAAGATCTGGTGAACTAAATGTTGGCTTTCAAATGGGACATGAGGGCTTAAAAGGTTTGTGCCAAGACAAAGTCTTATGCTTTAAGGCTGCAAGAAGACAGCAATATGCATGCTCTGTTGTTCCTTTTATAGAAGCCTTTTTTTTTCCACCAATCCTTGCCATGGACCAACACGAATGATAATTAATGCTTATACATTTCTCTCTGGATGCACAAGAAAACACATTTTTCTAATACTTTCCTGTTGCATTTCTCTTCTTTACTCTCTTTCAAATCCCCTAATGCTTATTCTCCTGGTAATCTGCTGTCATGAAATTTGCCTGGCAGCTAGAAATAAGGGAGTAACATGTTGGGGACCTTCTGGCTTACTGATCTTAGGTAGCATCTACTGTTAACAGATATACCTAAAACAACTAGATCTTTAGGGTAATGCTTAAATATGCATGAGTGTGCATGTACGTAGGTATATACACAGACACACGCATACTTGTACAGACAGTACATCTGCTCCACAGAGACAGTGTGTTGTAGATCTTGTAAATACACCTTCATTCAACTTTCATCACATTGTTCATTAGTGGTTTAAATTTTGCATAATTTGGCAGCTGCCTCTGGCGTTTTTCAAGAGGTACTGTAATTTATTCCATATGGAAGTCACTCGCTGTACTAAAAAGGAGTTATCAGGTTCAGCGAACCAGAGCTGTATTTGTCTAGAAGGAGGTGTCAGATGCTAAACTAAATATGACAGGAGTTAACCAAAGTCTCCCAGCTGACAGATTCTGTGGGGTTTCTGTAGTGTTTGGTATAAACAGGTTCAAAGCTAATACATACACTGCAAGACGCCGAGCACGCTGTCAGGGTAAGAAAAGCCCTGGAGGCTAAAGCCCCCGATATCCAAAAAGGGAGTTTGGCATTGCTGTCCAATCCCGGCTGGCTCGCTCCAAATCCTGACTGTGCAACGTGCCCCGTGGCTCCATCTGCGACCATCCTCCACGTCGGGGCTGCCCCACTGCTGTCTCCCTGGGGTCGTTCCGAGCCTTCCATGCTCACTTGGGGCACTGCAGGAAAACCAGCTCTTCTGTGAGCAGGATCTTGGCTGGTGACTTTCTGTCCTCCAGGACCTCGTGTACCCAGGGTGGCACCTCTTGCTCTGGCTCTTCCCATAGTGCTCCCTCCCAGCGGATGCAGACCTAGCGCGGGCCGGGTATTTTTGTCTTGATTGACATAATTAAAGGGAGCAGTTTCAATGTTTACTCTGGTAACAGCCGTGACAAATTAAGGTGTCACTGCTGTCAGCTGTTTAGCTCAAACAAACTTCACCACAGGCTTAGCCGGACAGAGCGACTTAGCGCTTCAGAGGAGGAAGAGCCTTGGTAGGAAACGTCCTGCAAACGCCGCTGTGAGGAGAAAACCTCTGGCAAAAGGGCACAGACAAGGGCCAGGAGGTCCTCCTGCTTCACGTGCATGTTTTGCAGTGAAAGAGAAGGTCCACATGGAAGAAAGCTCCCTTCTACTACCACCAGCCATGGGCTGAGCATTGGCCATCAAGAGAGTAGCTCATTATGCTGTTAGCTATCAAGAAAGTAGCTCATTATACTGTGCTATGCCACAGCAGCCCTGAAATGTCCTTATTTTATGAGCTTTATGGGAAAACAGCCCTGACAACTGGTGTGTGAGGCTGGTGACATACTGTGGTGCTAGCAGCTCTGCGAGCCTCACAATTAGGACGACGTAGAGATGAAGAAAGAGTAAAAATGCTCCTCTTTTGGGGACACAACCATTCTACTTCTTGTTTCTTTGTCAGCTCTTGTCCCCTGCCAAGAGTTCTGTCCTTATCTCCCCATAATTCGCACAGTCACCTCTGTGGTGTTCTCCTATCTAGCCTGACATCCATGAGCTCTTGGAGCTCAAACTCAGGCCTGCTGCACTTCAGACCCTCTGAGGTTACTTCTGCTGTAAGATGGGGAAAAGTCTTATGGATGAAGAGCTTATAGCTTATGTTCTCCTGTCCCCACTGACCCACTGATGGCTGTTAGTCCAAGGCATCCACAGAAGACACTAGTGGTGGACTGAGCTGTCGTGGCCCCTTATCCAGACCATGAGAACCTAGTCCACTGAATTTGGGCTCTTTCCACCACAAGTTCAGGCTACCAGGGAACCTGTGTTTGCATATGCGAGACCTGGACAGCCTGGATGGTCTGCAAGACTGCATGGATGGTCTACAAGACTGCCTAGATGATGGGCTCCAACTCTGCAAGAAGTAGGAAGCTGGACAGAAACTGATGGAGAAGGCTGGAAGATGGCAGGTGCTTTCTGCAAGAAACTTGTGCTGTTTCTCATTCTTTCATTAATCACCATCAGATAAAAAGATTTGCACCAGCATCTGAATAACATGAAATGTATGAAGTTCAAGAGATCCAATGCTTATGTCCAATGGACATAATTGTTCCTGCACCTTCTTCTCCTCTGTGGAAAGGTTGTGATGAAGTTCCCACTGTCTGCTCTAAAGTCAGCTGCCTCCCGTAGATGAATTTCCTTCATCTTAGAGATGATGTGAAACCAATATTTTTCTGTATTAAAGTTGCCAACATAGATATTATTTATAAAACTTAAATGAGAATACATCTGCACAAAATAACTGACACCGTGTTCCCCGCATGGCATATGCAGTCTCAAAATAAACATTGATTCTATATGTTAGCTGCTTCAACAGAGCGTCCAAGCAGCAGGAAATGCATGAAACATGGGGAAAGAATGGAACGCTACGGAGCTCAGCAGTGGGAGGTAACATTGAATTACTTGGAGAGCAGAGAAGGCGGCCCTGGGAGTTAAAATACACAGCAGGCAAAGAGATGAGAGAAGCCAAGAGAGCTGAAAAAAATGGCACAAGAGACGAGAGAGGCAGCTGGGGGAGTTAAAACATGCAGATGGAGAGATGGCTGAGAGAGAGGGAAGACCTGGATCCAAGAGGAAAGACGACGACCGGGAACTGGCCACTTAAAATAAAACTTTTCAAATACTGAGGCAAAAACGAGGGAGCAGGTTTTCCATACATCAGAAAACCACTGCTGGGACACCACAGCCTGCTCCTCAGGTGGTTCAACGCCCACACAGCGTCGGCACCGTCACCCAGTTACACCTGGACCTCTCCTGGAGGCAGGAGAGCCGCTTTCCGCCTTCACCACCACCTCAAGCACAGGATCCAGATTGCGACTCCTGATTCCAGATCTCCAGCCATCAAGTAATGAGCTGTCACCCTCATCTTTCTCATTTATAGACACTGTCAGGATTGCTATAAATAAATTGATAATACATGCTTCAATATGACTCTCATTTTAAAAGCCCTCATCTAACTAAAATTGCACTAAATTTAAAAAGCTGAACTTTTCACAGCCCCCTCCCCAATCAAACTGGGAAAACAAGATTGATATATGCAATGTTGGCTGGGACAGATTTAATTTTTCTATTGTTTTGGATCCAACCCGAAACACTCCTGCTTCAAACGCTTGGGCTCCTGCCTCCCAGATGACTTAAGAGTGCACTCTCTGCTTTGGGTTTCTTGAGCATCCTATATCTCCTGAAATGTAATCCACTTCCACCTGTGTCCTTCAGTAACCACCAAGAGATATATGGGTCAGTATCTGGACCATGAATCCTTCAGATATGAAAAGGGAGGCTTTCCGAATCAGAGGGATGGTTCCACATGTCCTAGAGCAATAATGGGCATATGAGCATCTTTTGGACCACAATCTGCATTTCTTTGGCCAAAGCTCACCCGGTTCCTAAGCCTGTTGTTGCTCCTTGACAGGCTTCCAGAAACCCAGAGGTATTTAGTGTAAAATAAAACAGTATGCACAAAGATTGAAGTGGAATTTAGGCAAGCAAAATCAGTACCTGTATATTTTGCTTCTACAGAACCTCTTTTGGGGGAGGTAAGAAGAAAAGGGTTCTTATGCAAATCTTAATTAGGTCTTTCTATCACTGAAAATAATAACTTTTCAAGGACAACATCTTATATTTCCATGTTAGTTTGACAGATAAAATTAATTTCAAGCCTCTTGCAAGGAGCACAGTTACACTGAGTAAACTGCATCCTATTATAACCAAAGTTATCATGTCCACAAACGAAATAAATTTTACTAATAGCTTCATTTGAGCTTGCTGATGCTTTGAAAGACCCATGATAGTCCTCAGTGTTTCCTGTTGGAGACAATTCTTCACTGACTTGGAACCTATGAACTTTGTGTTTTTGCACGTGCAGATTTGTGTGTGTGTTGTTAACCAGAATAGCATAGAGCCTTTGAATCACAGGCATAAAAGAGTTTATTTTCTGGGAAGATCTTTCTCGGATGAGCTAATCACCAAGCCACAGCTCCACCAGAACACAGGGCCGTGTTGAGTAAGCAGTGACACACACAGGCACTTCGGTGAAAGGCCTTAATGCTACAGAAAGACTGAAAGAAAGATCTCCGGGGTAGGAAACATCACAAAACTGTGGCATTTCTTAAGTGTCTGCCATGTGGACAGGTGAAAACAGAGGTTCTTTAGACTGACAGCAGCAAAGCAGTTTTGATGGGATTATAAAGACTAGATTAATGTGTCCAAGTTTAAAGCAGAGAAGCTGTTGAGGTGCTGGGGTCCAAAGAAACAGGACAGCTCCTGTTCATCATGCATATGACACTGAGCAAGCTGCAAGGCACCGCAGAGGAAAGGAAGGTCATTCCCCAGTGGAGAGCTCTGCCCTCCATTCCCAGCCTGCAAAGCTAGACTAACCCAGACCTCTCACCTCCCTCACTGCTTAGGCTGGAGCTCACACACATCAGCTGGCGTTGGTGCAAGGCTCTGGGTGCTACAGGGGTACGCACGATATATACATGTATTTTAAATATAGACACTGAAATGGAGACTCAACATTTGCAGAAAAGCCCTCCACACCTCTGCCAGGGACAGAGAATTGCCCTCGGGTATTTTTACAAGAGCAAACAAGGCCAAGCGAAGCTGAGGGTCAATATCTAATCATCCTAATTGCTATTTACTTTGTCAGCAGAGTGCTTCAGAGCTGCCATTATCAACAAGTTTGTTTAAAAAGTGCTTCCAGCTCCGCTGTCTGGACAAAGACAGCAAGTCCTTAGCAGTCCCATCTTTCAGGGCATGATCAGTCTCCCAGGGCTCCTGGGGAGATGCACGGCCCAGTGAGAGCCATTTGCCCCAAGTCTGCTGGTCTGCCGGAGTGCAAGGACATGGGGTAAGGACACACCAGCCAGACTCCAAATAGAGACTCCAAAGAGATGCTTACAGCATCTCTGAGCAGAGGAAAAAGCTGATGTGGAGGACCAAAAAGTGGGGAGAAGAGCCCATGCTCATAGTGCTTTGATTTCTTCATTAGAAACCACTGACATGGGACAATTGGACACAAGGTAATAACCTTGTCCTGTCCTGTCAACTCTTCAGAAGTGCTACCAGAAATGCAGTGTTTCTCCTGGAGCACTGGGGCTTCACAGAGACATCTCTCAGGGGAGACCCTGGCTTATAGAGTGATGGAAAGCAAAATTCTGCCCAGTTCGTGAAGGTTAGTGCTCCATCGCTCTTCCTTTTGGTCACCATGTGGGTGCCCCCGGGACTGACACAGGAATATAGATGACAGGTAGGAAGGAGAAGACCAAGGCAGAGGTCCTGTAATGACGAACGAAATGGAGAAAGTGAAAGGAGCTTATTCTTTGCAGTCCCCCACCAGAAGAGAGGAAGGAAGCTGCCAATTCAGAGGTCAGAGAAGTTTTAAACAAACAGAAGGCAGCGCTCTTCCCCACTGTGCGTAACCATGAGTGTGGCTCAGAGCCCCAGGACGTTACCTGAAGTACATGTGGTTCAAACAGGGTCCAGGCAAGTTCACAGCAGACAAGTCCTGCAGTGACATGGCCAAGAGGGTCCAGGCACGGAGCCTGGGTGAAACATCCCAAACCCCAGAGAGCTCCTGCGTCGATGCTGCGCCTGGTCTGGCTGTGCAATGGCAGAACGACCCCAAGCTGGAGCCTTGCAAAGCCACCCAGGCCTCCAGCAGTACGATTGCCTCCATCCTTATCCTTTATCCCTATTTATCCACTGATCTTCCCGTCAGAAAGAGAGCATCGCATCGTGTCTTTAGTCTGACCCCATGTGGCAGCTCGAATGTTTGCAAAACGGAGGACTGAAAATTTGTGAACACTTTTCCACTAAATTCGGAGGGTTTTGGTTCACACTGACCCTACAGAACAGGGTTATTCAAACTGCTGCAGAGTCTCAGAAGATTATTTAAAATAACACCACCAACACAACACGTCAACAGTCTACAAGAATGGTCAAAGATGCCGAGAAATGAATATTGTAATAAGCAAAAAAAGTCTTTGATAGACAACTGCTAAACAGTATCAATGAGTAACATCTATTAAGTGTCTTTTCTCCCTTCCCCATGAAAAGCCACCTGCTTTCATACTGTCCAACACTTACTTTTCCAGTATGGACATAATAATTGGAGGTAGAACCAGTATAGGCATCGGCAGGACCACTCTAGTCAGGGCCGTTTCAAGCAGTGCCTGCAAAGCAAAAACAAACAAAGTGACCCAAGACATTGAAAATGAAGCTCAGGATGCCCCTGCACCGAGCTGCCAGCGTGTGGGCACGGAAATGTCTTGGCTGGCTCTTCTGGTGTTGCATGTGTGAACGAACGTGTCAACAAATGTCTTCAACTTTGCTCTCAGTTATCTGTGTGCAAGTTGGTTTTGTGCTGCTGTGACACCGGGTGGGTTTGGGCCAGGTTTGGTCACAGGGCTCCGCAGCTCCAAGGCACCCGGGCTTTCCCCACTTTGCCAGCATGACCCAAAGTACCCAAATATCATACTCCTACACAAATACGTTAGTGCTGCCTGGGGATAGAAATAAAAGGCAGAACAGCTGTGTGGCATATTCTGCAAGTTAAAGACCCCCATGCAGGCTGAGCTATGGGCAGTCCTGCTCTCCCGCCTGGGAGGAGACGCCCATACGCCTGGTTCTCTGCAAGATCTAGGGCAGCAGGGATGGGAATGCTGAACACGCTCACAATGCTCAAACCTTCCAAAACGGGAGAATGTCTTGCAAAGGTGCAGATTACAACACTAAGGACCTGCCAGGTACTGCTCTGTTTGGGAAGAACCATCAGGATTAGGTGGCAGCTGAGTGGAAGTTCTCAGATTCCCAGTTTGGTGCTTGAACTCCACCTAAATGACATTTACTGTACCTTCATTTTCAGTATTTATTTTTGTCTTGTCTGTATTCTCCTACACCATTAGCATGGAGAGAGGAGGAAGGGTCTTGAAGCCAGTAATGTAAGTTAGGCAAACTGGCTCAAGTAAGTGTCTCCGAGCCCTCCAACAGATTGTTTTAAGCTCCCTGTTAAACAACAATATGGAGATATATTAGAGATCTCCCATTTCTTGCAGAAGACTGTAAATCTGTACATAATTGCTGTCTATGAAGTGCCTCAAGAGCCTTGGACAGAAGGAGCGAGAGAAATGCCAAGCATTATATTATTAACTCCTCTGCCTGGGCGTGTGCTTCTGTACACGCTCTACATTTCAGCTGCAAGCCCACTTGCAAACAACCTGCCTCAAACAATCAGAGGATGCTCAGCAGGCAAAACTATGTAAAAAGGAAGAAAACGCAATAATTGCAAGCAGATGGTGGAGGGTAGAAGGTTACAGGCGAAAACAAACCAGGTGTTAGCACAAGACTAAAAACATCTGGCCACCCTTAGAAAGCTCTGGATGGCAATTGTGAAAGTGATTTTGACATGGCAAGGGTTAAAAAGCTCCTCAACTTGAAAATGAAGTCTTCCTCATTTAGAAAAAGGTGTAAGTTATCTTTGCTTCATATTCAACATGAACTGCGTACAAGTTTCCACAAAGAAATCCTAAGGCTGGGAATGCACGAGGGAAGCAGTGGATCCTTCTGATGTAAATCCGTAGGCTTTCAGTCCAGTTTGAGCAGCTATTGGGTTCTTGTGCAACACAAGTTTCTTCCTCCACAGAGCTTCAATTTCTGCTGAGAGATTTTCTGTTTTTCAGAAAAGCTCCCTAGCCTTGACTTGAATGCTTTTGGGAAACACAGTCCTGAGATAAATTACTCTTGATCATGTGCTCTAAGAGCAACACCCCAGCTTGTCACCTCTAAAATTCAGTGCCCAGCAGCATGTGCAGTGGCTGCGTGCACCCAATTACAAGGGTGGTCACAGAGCAAGCAGCAAGTTTTCCATCATTCCCCCTGCACGATCGCTTACTTTCACCTATTTCTAGCTTCTAAGTTGTCAGTTCCTACAGCTGTGGGATTTGTTGAGCCTTGGGGCCTGTTGTGTGCATGCTTACGTCGAAGGCTCGCAAGGAACATCACGGGTACATACATGTTTTGCAGCAATTCTGGAAGATCCAACAATGTTTCCGTTATTGTCCAAAACATCAATTCCTTCTTCCAGCTCCGCGTGCCTCATCAGGACAACATTGCAGATATTGGCACTAGCTGAGGATGAGAAAAGCAGGATGATTAGCAGTGGGGCCCCGGTCAATATCCAATGGCAGGTTTCTCTTCCCTGTAATACTCCGGCAGCTTCGTTCCTACCAGTTTGCCGAGGAGTTTCTGAAAGTCAAGGGTTCACCCCTGTACAGAGGGGTGAATGCTATGATTTTGGGGAGGAGAATAATACATCAAGATCATTCCCTTTTATTTCTTTTGCAAAGGAATTTGCTGCCACAGGAGGAGATGTACTGAGGCAAGAAGGGACATGGGCATTTCCCCATACTTGGAGCTGCCCTGCTCAGCGAGCCAAGTTGCTCCAGGATAGGCGTGAGGGGCACAAGCATGGGATGGGTGTGCAGGAGTTCATGGCTGGCACGAGCATGGAGAAAGGACATTGCCACCTCTTTTGGAGCCCCAAAGCTGGCTGTAATCCCGGGAAAGCACAACGTGGGATTTACAGAGTGTGCTTCGGGATTGTCCTTGCCCTGTACAACCCTCCTCCAGGTCCTGCACATGAGTTGCTACATCTACACCCTGCCTGGGAGTCAGTAACTCTACTGTTCACCAAGTCCTGCAGGTTAGGAGAGTTTTGAGGGCAAAGACTCATGTTTTGGCACACACAGTTGGCCTGCTGGCCTCCCCATCTCATGCAGTTTATCCTAAGTAATGTCCAGGGGCCCTCTGCTCTCAGGTCCCTTTTCTCCTATAAAGGGGTACTCCAGGTATAAGTGAGGAAGAGGAATTTGGACATGGACCACATGCTGAACTACTGACTCACTGGCTATTCTCTGTGATGCTTTATTGCCAAACCCCATCCCATCTTTCAAGAAATTTTCAAGAGAAAAGTTGAATATCTTCAAAATTCAACTGGCATTGACAAACTGGCATTTTCCAGGGTAAAAAAAAAAATAAAAACCACAACATTTTGCTGCAAACTTTCCAATCAGAACTAATGCAAAGCCACTGCTGCTGCAGTACCACCGCTTCCAAAAATGTGCTTCTGTGCCGTCTGATGGGTTAATATTCGCTAATTAATCTCAATTCATGTCATATAACAAATGTCTAATTTTTTGAGGGTGGTGGGTGGGTGAGCCCTATACGAGCGCAGCTCTAGGCAATCAAAGATGATTTGTGGTGACAAATGCTCCTTACACTCCCGAAGGAGAGGAACACACACACACGCACACTCTGTCTCTCTCGCTAATCTTCTGAGTACCGGACCACTCTTCCTATCTATCAAAATATCCGTGTTACCAGGCCTTCAGCTCACTAATCTAAGATTAAAAAAAAAAAAAAAAAAAAAAAAAAAAGCAGGCATTTCATTTAAAGAAAGTTTACCCCCCTTCTTTTTCCATTTTTTTTTGTAATTCTCCCCATCCTTCGAGCTTTCAGTCAAGATTGAGCAGATAGCAGCGTGCCAGAAGAGACTGGTTTTGTCATGTGTGTGGTGTGGTCAAGGCGAGAAGTGCTGGCACAAGATGCTCATAGTGATTTCATTGTGGTTTCCAGACCTAAAGTTCACATGGCAGCTCCAGGTGCTTCTCCAAGTTGCTACCCCCTTTGAAGGCTTCATTGTCGAGACCTCAAATTCCCATCCCTGGATTCCAAACTCTAGGAGCTGCCTCCATTCTGCTGCTGTAAAATCCTGAGGAAGCATGAACTGTGGCAGATAATGGGTAATATTTGATTTTATGAAGGTTTCAAATGCAAGATATGGAAAATAAGAAAAAAACAGTAGGGGAGAAAATTAGATTTACAGAATTTGGGGGAAAACTTCCTTTGTGTGGTATTTTTTATTTCTGAATGACACACATCCCCAGTATAAAGGACACTGTGACATCTCCGTCTTCATCTGATGGGCCAGTGACAGCTTCCCACACCCAGTAGATGCATTGGGCAGCACTGATTTAGATGATTAATTGTTTGTTAAGATCACTCTCACTTTGGGAGGCACTTAGGAAGCGCTGCCTTCAACGCCCCGCGAGACAGCGAGTTAGGAAGCACCGGGATCGCCCGGCAGGTCCTTCTCCGGCTGCAGAGCTGACTTGGGAAGCTGCCTTTGGATGCCGAAGCAGGAAAAAAAAGCATTAACACTTTATTTTTATCACTATAGTAACTGGGGACCACAGATCCTGAGCTAGCCCGATCCTTCTTCCAGGGGCTCTGATGATCCATCCGAGGACCTCAATGTGGAATTCAAGCCTGGGAGCTGGAGTGCAGTCTGGAGTGAACCCATCCGCTGCAGCTGAGGCATCATCATACTTCTCTTCTCCTCTGGAAAAGGTCCTTCAGAGTATGACCGAAGAGCAGGGGGAAACCCTGGTTAGTTGTATGTATGTCAATAGAGCAAGAGCTTCACAGTAGCTCCTGCCCTCTTGGGTGTAAGAGGTGAAATCCTGCCCTTTTCCTGCGGTTGGCAGATTACAAAGTAATGGGCAGGAGCATCTTAATTAAGCAGTTTGCCCAGGTCTGCAAAGCAGTAACTTGCAGCTTTCGAAACAACAAAATACAGCAATTAGTCGGGCGATTCCTGATGCCCTGGCACATAATTAAGCACGACAGTACACAAATAAAGTAAGAACTAGAGAATTAATTAAGGGCTAAACATATTAATTACGGGTCCTCAATCAATTCTGACACAAGCCTAACCTCTTCCTCCTAACACCTTGGTGCAAAAATAGAACAAGCTGCCGGCAAAGATTTTCCAGCCGCCTCTCGGATTCAAACCCCGGCTCGGAGCTGCCTGGCGGGTCTCGTACTAACCTTCGGTGCCCTCTGGAATACACAAATGAAGAGCTGAAAACCTCTAAAAATACACTGGGAACAGGAAGAACAGCAAAACGGCGACATTGGAGGTTTTCCTGCGGATCACTGCTGCTTCACTCGGAGCGTCATTCCGATTGAGCCGGGAGAAAACACGGAGACATAAAGGAAAAGTTTGACCTCTCAGGGAGCCCTGCATCATCTTCTGGGTGAGGAGAGAGGATTTTACTGCTCTTCATCCAATACCACACTGCAGTGACTTATGTAAAACCAAGAAAACAAAACCCATCTATCTACAGCACTAGGAAACGGGAATAAAATAGTTGATTCCATAAACACCAGGATTGATTTAGACGCTTCTTTTTAAGTAACAGCATCCACAGATGTTGTCCACCAGGTGTAAACTACAGACCATGACCCCAGGTCCTCCCTGCTTGGCTGGTGGAAATAAGCCCCCATATGCTGGGAACGGAAGGTAGGAAGGTCAGAGCAACAAACTCTGTCACGGACTCACAGAAACTGCATCTTCTCCATATGCCACAACCACCCTTGAGACCAGCCCATCGGGCAAGGAAGCATCAGG